TTAATCAAGAACATAATACGAGCTTTAATGAACACCAATGTAAAGAAAAGTTTATGAATCTTGTTCGGGATTACAATGTAAGTATGGTATATTAAGACTTGAAGATTTTTTGCTTACATCTTAGCTATTATAACTAATAATTTATGTCAATTAGTTGATGTACGATTTTATGGCAGGGAATCGAAGAGCACGAAGAAGTTGAATGGGTGCGCAATACTTTGATGAGTTTCGTACGCATTTTTGGAAGAGGCCTGAATATGAATTTGATAGAATCTGTACTATTAATACCACAAACTGTAGACGAAATAGAGATGTGGAAAATATAACACCAGCACCATCTATTGAGGAAGTTTCATCGATGCTAAATAGGAGTCACCGTGAATCTCCCACTGGTCAAAGAAATCGATCCGCATCTCCAACCCGAAGAACTCCCAGCAGAAGAGACGAAACTACCAATCGAGATAATGCAAGTAATTTGGGTGGAGATTTAGGTAACAACACAAATAATATGGGTGAAAATTCAAGCAATAACACAAATGATGTGAGTAGAAATTTAGGTGGAAATTTAGATAATGCTACATCTTCATCTGAGTTAGTAAATATTACCTCATCCCTTGCATCACAAAATGACAATGATGTTAGTATGTTCGATGTTGGAGGTAGTTAGCCACCTTCTTATATGGAATCTATAAACGAGGAGGGGGGCAGGATGTTAATATATTTAGATTTCGTCGTGTTATGCAAAATTTCGTTTGAAAAAGTAATAAAATTTTAGCACTTTGTGCTTGCTCCGCTCGAGTTATGCGTGACAAATTGTCACGCCGATCGCTTTTGCCAAGAAAAAATAAATCACGATAAATTGATTGCGTAATACAGATGTTCGATCAACACATCACATGTTATATCACAGAATGATGTAATCGTGTGACCTGGTGATTATTCTAAATCTGATTGACTAACTCGTGACATGCACATTTTCAGTTTTTTTTTTCGTCGCGAGAACATTTTAAAAGGGTAGTATATCTTATTCGTTGTTATTTGCTTCTATCTCCACGCTCTGATGGCATCACAAAATATACCTACGCCTGTATGTGACCTGGTCATTTATTTATATTTATATTGGACTCCTGCAGCCGATGTTTGGAAGGGGGACTTGCACGCCTACTAGGACTCATTACAGTTGTAATCCCCTTAGATAGATTCGTTGCAAGGGAACTCTTTCCAGTATATTAGATTTAATGAGTTTCCTATGTCCGTACGTGACCTGGCCATTATATTGGACTCCTGCGGCCAATGTTTGGAAGGAGGACTTGCACGCCTACTAGGACTCATTACAGTTGTAATCCCCTTAGATAGATTCGTTGCAAGGGAACTCTTTCCAGAAACTCATCTTTGTCAATGCCATTACCGTGATTTTCTTATAGTTAATGCTTACATTATTATATTTCTTAGTAACTAAATTATTTTAACTTTTTTGTATAGATGGATATTTCAAGCGGGATTTCTTCCTATTTCAGCAGTACAAAGGTTGAAGCCTGGGGTTATATGGGTTGTAGAACATTTAGCAAAAGTGTGTGCGCATTTGACATCAGGAGATTATGACGAAATTCTTGACAAATACAAGAACCATTTATTTTCAACAATCTCATCTACATCATCGCTTAAAAAAGCAAAAGACAAAGCCCTTAGGCTGAATGATACTGCGGAACGTTCATTTCAACGCATAGAAGTTACCTCGTTTTTTAAAAGACTTGATACGCAGGTACGTTAATTAATCGCCGTTAAATTTATATATATACATGTATATGGACTAACCTATTTGACAGGTTGACATGAATGCAACCGGCAGTCTTGCAAATGCCACCAAAGATCTCGTGGACGCAAAAGAAAAATTATATGAATCGAAACTTAAGTCACGTGCATATGACAGATTTGTCGAAAGTACGGATGCGAAAAATGATCGTTCATCCAAACGCCTTAGACAAGAGACAATAATTTCAGAAGAGGATAAAAAAAAAGTATAGTATCTTTTGTTATTTTCTTGGTAAAATGTTTTTGTTTGATAGTAAGCATTTGAGCTCTTTTTCCTTCTAGTCTGACACAAATACAGTACCCAAAGCAGATGACGATAATTTTGATGGTATGTTAAATTGATGCAAATATGTAAAACACCGTGGTTCCTTTATAAATAATTATATCAATTAAAGAGCGAAAGGATGACGATGAAGATAAAGATGCAGAAAGAGTCGAAGAGGAATTATATTCATCCAACTATGTGTCATCTTCCCTTATTGGTATCTTTTCCAAGTCTTATTCACAGCAACAAACATAAAGTGATTCGTCATCTTTGTTATCTGTTTTGAAGAAATATTGCGCAAATAAATCCACCTCACTATATGAGTAAGTTGTAATTGTGGGTCAATAATATCTTTTGACTACTGCTTACTTTTTGTCTTTTTTTTCTAGTCCAGCCCGTAGCTTCATTGTGGATTTGTCGCTATCTTCAAAAATAAGAGGGCAATTTAGTAATGAGGAGTGGGCCGATTTAGTCAAAAGAAGACCTGCTGCGGTCCGGAAATCTTACCATCATGAAATCGAGTCTATTATTTCTCACCTATTTAGCCAAAAAGTAAGGGAAAGTGAACTTTATCCCGTGTTGACACCTCTGATTTTTTTCTCCTCTTTTAGATGGATCTATTACAAGCTCGCAAAAAATGGTATGAACTAAGAAATTTGGTTGCTCCTAAATACAACAATGAGTTCTCTTATACAGAGAACGACTGGGAAAAAATAAGACGTTGGGTTGAACGAGTAACAGGACAATTGTACGTTATGGGTCTCCCATTATTTACAATTTTATTGTGACGTGCTTAATTGGTTTTTGTTGTATTACCATTATAGTCTGGATGCATTTGAATTATTTCGAAATCCATTGCAAAATGATTGTCACGAACGAGAATGGACTGGTGATTATTTAATCCCTTTAATACAAGGAGTTCTAAAATTAGATGGCAATTTCTATGTTCCATGGTAAGTTGCAGATCTCTCCATTTATCGTGCATACATAACGCAATAATTTTCCCCTTATCCTCAATGTTGTAGAAGAGTTGCACAAGCTGAAAGCAAATATTCAATAACTGAATTAGAATGTCTTGCTGTTCACTGAGCAATCAAACTCTTTTGTCCATATTTTCACTTTCATATACCATTTCAATTGATAACTGATCACGCTACTTTAACATGGCTATTCAATAAATCTAATCCACCTGGAAGATTATCTTACTGAATAATGAAACTTAGAGAATACAACTTTGAAATAATTCACAAAAAGGCAGAATCCATTCCAATGTAGATCCACTTTCAAGAATATCACATACATCAGACAATAATAATCATCCAAAATGAATTTGAATGAATATGTTGAATTATACAATTACCTTAACTCACTTAAACTATCAGACAACCTCTCAATAGATCAAACCTAAAAATTTTTGACCAAATCCAAACAATATTTCATCAATAAAAATCATCTACATAGAAGAAACAAGCTCAATTTAAATCAACTACAACAAGTTATCAAAGTTACTGAAGTTGAAACTGTTCTATTTAATGAACATTCAATTGGACATTTTGATATTGAAAATACATATCATCGTATATATCAAAAGTATTATCAGTCTTAGATGTACAAAGATATTAACAACTATATCAAAGCATGTAACATATGCCAGCGCAAAGACAAAATCAAAAAGAATAATAAATTGATACCAATACCAGTAACTCAACCATTTGAGAAAATTGATATAGATTTCATTGGACCACTTCCATCAATATACAACAATAATCATTATATTGTTATCGCTATTGATTATTTTACAAAATGGACAGAAGCAAGAGCCATACCTGATGCTGTCACTGCAATTATAATTTTATTTTTATATGAAGATATTATATGTAGACATGGATATTCAAAGAAAATTATTTCTGATAGAGACATAACATTTGTTAATGATCTAATTGCAGAACTTCTAGAAAGATATCAAGTAAAACATCGACTCTCAGCATCTTACCATCCACAAACAAATGGTCTAGTGAAATGCTTGAATAGAATAATTTGTACAGTACTCGTAAAATATGTACAATTATACAAACAAGACTGGGATCACTATCTTTCAAATGTCTTGTTTGCATATAGAATAATGAGACAAAGTACTACTCAGTTTGAATCATTTTATCTAACAAATGGTTGACAAGCAAATATATCACTTGATATTCAATTAGAATTACCAAATAATCAAAAAGCAACATTAGAAAAACAAATAGTTCAAAGAGCTTGTAAAATTATTGATCAACTAGAAGAAGACTGTGAATTAGCTCTACAAAATATTCAAAAAGCGTAATTAAAACAAAAAGAACATTATGACAAAAACAAAGTCATCCAAATATTTGAAATTGGAGATAAAGTTCTAATAAAATAAATGGAGACTCAACATTGGTATCATGACAAATTTGGAGAAAAATGGAAAGGACCATTCTATATTCATGACAAATTTGATAAAAGAACTTACAAATTATGCATACTTGATGGAAAAATCTTGAAAAATCCACATAATAATGATTATTTGAAGCTCTATGTTGAATTAAACAAATTAGAGCCTATTATAATTATTTGAGTTTTTCGCAGTAAAACTCTTAAGTAGAGAAGACTGTCACCATTTAATATTTTAGATCACATGTAAAATATTATGTGACATATTTTGATAATTATTAATATTTCCTTTTATAATTTTTCTATTTATAATTCTATTTTTAATTATTTAAT